ATTGCATACATTATACTTCCTGTTTCGCCACTTATGTTTTGGCGGGAAACCTACCCGGATTATATAACATGTTTTCTAATGTAGGAAGTGTAATAATATACTCTCTATAGGCTTTATGTTTTGTCCAAAACATGTTAAAGTTCAAATGACATGTATTAGTCAGTCTTTTATGAATTGCAAAATATCTTAGTGGCATTCAAATGATTTGCACTTCAGTTTGCATCAAAGTGAAGGCTGTGTTTTGTGATCACTCACAAACTGAAACCCACTTATCCAATGTTATGAATGAAGGAATTTGATAGTGACTTGAAGAGAGAATAATAAATGAAAGGTAAGAACATATTCACAGAGAGTAATAAGGACAAATTACCTTAAGGATGTCAGAGGAGGTGAATAATGAGTAAAAGCTTTTTTTTCAACTAGCAGCACTATTCTATACAATAAGTAGACATTAGTCTGTAAGTGAAGTGAATCCCGCCGTTACTACCTGTACAGTACATTACACTTCAGGCGCTGTGAAACACGCTGGAGAGCATCCTGTGTAACAACTTGGGTAAAGGACAGAGGCGGGAAAGGAGGAGGAGGAAGCAGTTGTTCACCAGGAGGTAAATGAAGTAAAGCACAGAAGAAGAAGTGGGTAAAGAGCATCCTGCAGAGCAGCATATGGTAACGGCCCCCGATTCATGGCCCTTTAGAGCCATGAGGCCAGCAGTGAGCCTAATGTCACTCTCACTGCTTGCAATGTGTGCAGAGATGCTGCGGCGCTAGCTAGCAGCTAACCAGCGAGCATATTTAACAATGAAAAACAAATCCCATTCAAATATCAGTGGTGTATTTGTGTAATTTGTGCTGTTATGTAATCTCTATTGAGAAAAAAAAAAATCTCTATTGCAGCCCCAATAAACACATTTAATTCATGTAGTATTTTTTAAAGAGGAGCATTTCTCTCCGACAATAGAACCGCATTTAATAAAGACCAATCAGGTAAACACGGAGATCATAGCAGGGAAACAGCATTATTATAGTGGGCAGCTTATTAAAAAACGGCTATTAGATTCACTGGGGTTTCTTCTTGATCTAGAGGGAATGTGTGCTAATCCCCTCAAATCCATCTTGGCTGTTTGTATTTCCACAGAGTTGTCCATGCAAATCTACTCGTCTTACCACAGCAACAACATGCTGGTTCTTGGCTTGATAACTGTTTTTTCACTTGAGATGTGACAGGGTTACTGATTTTCTGACTGATATTTACAGCCATGGTGTTACATGTTTAATATTTTTTTTATATCAAGAAAGCCTTTCATCTTATCCTGTTTGGTATGAAATACTTATCTCACAGATGGATGTCCTTATTGCCAGGGTGACCCTTTGTCTCATCAGTGGGAATTCACAGTGTTGTTCAGTGCTTGTTGGTAATTGCAAGGTGCCTTACATTTACACATGCTATAGTATGCAGGGCATTTTAAAACCCAAAGGCTGTAGTTTACTTTCCCTGTGATATTTTTCAAAGTGGTAATTTAACTGTTAACCTTTATAAGAAAAACACTCAATAAGGTGATTATATTTGTATGACTAATGGCTCCGCATTGTTGTATAGCTGCAGAAGCGGTCTACACTGGTGTTGAGGAGGCTGTGTGTGAGCAGCAGCTTAAATTCTTTGTCACTGCATTCACACAGTATGTTAAGGCACCGTGCTGAGAGTAGGTCACCTGTTTGTTAGCAGCACTTAGAGCCCACAGCTGCTGAAGGAGTGCAATTGAAGCAGGAGAAAGAAGAGTTGGCAAGTGTAAACATATGTTTTCGGTAATGGGTACGTTTTTTAAACATGTGTAATGTGAGTTAAATGTGAGTTAAAGTAAGACATAAGTAAAACATGAGTCAAATGTGATTCAAACACATGAGTAAAAGCATGAGTATAAACATCATTAAAATGGAAAAGGTGAGGTAACATGTGAATGTGTGTAAGATCTGAGTGACACATAGGAAAAGTGAGAGTAAAACGTAATCAATATGTGAGTAAGATACAAATGAGTATAACATGTCAAAGACGTGTAGTATGTGAGTAACACTTGGTTAATATGAGAAAAACATGAAAAACATTTGTGTAACACGTGAAACGCAAATTAAGGCATGAATAAAACATAAGCAATACATTAGTAAAACACAAAAAAATATAATTTCCACATGAATAAAACAAGAGAAAAACGTTATAAAAAACAAACAACCTAGATATATAAGTAAACACATGTGTAGACATGAGTAAAAGTATAGGCAAAACATGAATAAATGGTGAGGTTACATGAAAAACATGAGTAACACGAGAGGAAACATATATGTAAAACATGTGAAAAACATGTTTAATACGTGAGTCTCAAGTAAAATACAAGGTAAACGTGAGTAACACATGATTAAAACATGTGAAAAAAACCTGTGGCATAAATGAGCTACACATAAGTAAAGAAAGAATACAATGTAAGTAAAACATCAGCGCAACTTAATCATGGCTAAAACTCAAACGCGATTAAATTAATGCAAGACATGAGTTATTAAGGGGTGGAAATAACACGAGTAAGTTAAACGTTAGTAAGTTGTGAGTAAAACATCCGTAAAACAAGTGTGAACCAAATAATGCAAGTCATAACTCAGGTAAAACATCAATAAAACATCAGTGAAACAAGGAAAACACAAGCCTTTATGTAGAAGCTGTATTGATTGGACCAGAGGCCTATCTGTTCCCACAGATCCTGTGCAGACAAGCCTTCAGGGAATCATCGGGCAGACTTTGACACTGAATACCTCTGCTGCTGTTTGCATCCTGTTTCCTTGTTTAACCGTGACAATGATTGTTCCCTGACCTTCACCCAGCAGCTCCAATCGGTTCTGCTGCCACCACAGAGAACATTTGTATTGACTCCCCTGTGTGTTCCAATGCATCCCAGTGTCACATCCTCGGTAATTGTTCGGGGAATTTAAGCAACCTGGAGGCAGTTAACACTCTACAAGTTGTGCTGTTTCCAATATTTAAGACTCAATGTAAGAAAACATCAAAATAATAATAACAATTTTAAAATGCCTACGGGGAGAAAAAAATGTCCAAGTAAATTGAATGAATAGAACCAAAAAATTCTAATAAATATATGGTAACTTATTTGTATGTGTTAGAGAGCATGCCATGGCATGGCCTGGCATCAGAGGAAAACAACATTAGTATTATTAAAATCCTGTGACTTTTAACATTCCAAGTATAGGAAATACTTTTAAATAATTAAATAATTCTGATCCTAATCTTTTTTTGTGCCTGAGAGGTTGCATGGGGCAGACACAACTTTTTTTCCAGTATGATTGAAAGTTGACAGATCAGAAAAAAGGAAATATGTGTTCTGAAAGACGCTGCCAAATGTTAACAGTGTGAAAGGAAACTGCTGGGGAAATAGAGCAGCACTTGACCAAAATTCAAACCTGTCCGGAAACAATTATTACCGAAATTCTACAGTCATCTTCAATTATTTGAAAAAGAAAAAAGAAAAGTCATACAAGGGGAAATGGAAGAAAGCTGCATTCTCGCTGGACTTTCTTTCTCTGCTTGCCACATCTACACCAGGTCTCACATCTCACGTCTTTTTATTTTTTATTATTTTAATTGTTTATTTATTTGATTATTAATGTATTATACACATTTACATAAATCAATTATTGACCTTCAGATTTTCTGTTCTGTAATTCTTCATACTGTATATAATTATGGTCATGCCAGTAAAGCTATTTAGAATATGAAAATGTGTCAAATGACCTGTTTTTCCTCAGGTAGATAACTTGTTAGAGTTAAAAACCCCTGTGTGCTTTAAAAAACGTTTTATCAAGACTTGAAAAAGACGACAATCAAACACCCCGCGTGATAACCGCCGCCGCTATGATGTGTGAACTGTTATCCCGTTTCTCAAAGTGAAATAACCTCACATTTGGTGTCGCTGTGATGTTGTCAGATTTACAGCTGACGGTGTGCCGGCCTCAGATACTGCTCTGCTGAAGTGCTGGCTATCTTTTATTCTGTCAGCCCAATTTGTTTGTGCGATGTATTTCACCGCTCGCATTTACAGGTCTATCCGATTCCCTTAGCTTTAGCTGCGCCGATAACAGCTCTGTTTGAATGAGCCTGTCTGTTCTGTCTGTGCGTTCCAAATAGTGATATCTCACCCTTTCCCTCGCTCAATTTCTATCTTTCCTACCACACTTAGTCTTGTCAGTGCAGCTGGTGGACTATACATGTGTGTTAGATTTAAATAAAGTGCTCGGTGAAATGAGGTACATTTTATGCAGCGATGCACAGATGTACTCCATATTTTCATCAGATAAATGCATCGGGCGAATCATAAAAGACGTGTAGCGTACTGTACTGTGTGTCTCAGTGTACTGTAAACTGCAACGCCAGCACTGTGATAATGTGCTGCTTTAATGTGCCCCGCACTAAAAGTAAAACCTGCATGTTTAAACAGGACGGCAGCGCACATGAAAGGGCCCTTTACCTTGATTAATTCTTGTTAGCTGGACGGAGGAATGGACTCAAAAAAGTAGATGCAGTTAGCTCATGTCATGGAGTTCAAATGTTTTTAAAGGCGTAGAGAGAGCAGCTTTGCTTACCTGTAATCTTTTCTTCACTTTAATCTCCTCTGTTCCTTCTGTTTCTATTAAATCCTTTTAATTAAGTTATTTTTTTACAGCAGGTTTTTCTGGCCATATTTACCAGCCTTTTAATAACACCACAATGTGAAGGCGTTCAGGCGTTGCCTTTTCTCTTCTCTTTTATCTCCCTCCTTCATCCTCTGTTCTGTTAAATTAAATGCCTTGTTATCTGAACATTTGCAAATATTGGCTCAGCGCAGGTAGGGGAACAGCAATGTGGAAACAGTTTAAAAGACAAAAAAGAAATGTTTAATGTTTGCATAAAGTATATCGGAGCTACTGGAACACGGCTAATATGTTCCGTCATGTTTCTCTCACAGGCATGTGGTCCTTCTCGGTTTCTGAACTGGCCATCCCGGGCGCTGAGATCGGACGCATCTCGGCAACGGACGCCGACCTCGGTGAGAACGCCAAGCTGGAGTACACCATCCTGGAGGGGGAGACGGGGGAGACGTTCAACATCACCGGAGTGAACCAAGAGGCGGTCATCACGCTCAACAAGGTGAGACGACAGAGAACAGGAGAGCAGGGTCATGTACTGTACAGAAAGGTTTTTAAAGGTAAAAGTCAAAAAGGTGGAGGAGTGAAGAAGAAGAAGAGCAGATGATGAGGAGGAGGGGAGGTGATGACTCAGGTAATGAGGGCAGAGGAATTGTGCTCTGCCTGTGAGTCAAAGCATAGCAAACAAAACATGTTGTCTAAGCCCATTAACCTGGAATTACCCGGATATACACAAAGACACCGGATAAGCCTATAAGATCGGAAATGATCCACCCCCTCAGGAGTCTCTTTAGTGAGGCGTTTTAAACAGGTGATCTATATTCATCTCACCTTTTCTCTTTTTTCGACGGTTTGATGGTTTTCTAACAAACTGATTTCCTGCTCGATTCACTGTGAGCCAGCGTCCTCCTTTTTTTATCAATATTTCCTTCTGTGTACAGTGGACATAATGAAGCGTCTTCCCGAACTCAATCCAAGCATGACGTACCCAGATGCAAATGTTTGCGGCAGCTTTAGTTGGGGTGTGGTTTGCAGCGAGAGTGTTTGGACCAGCCGAGATTGTTAGACTGCTTTCCTTATTCAGAAGGTTTTCCCCCCTGCGGAGCGTCTGCATGCACTGAAGGATGAATGAGACGCTGCCTTCCCATCCTGAGTTCAAATGGCTAATAGTTCCCTTTAGTGTAATAGTAGATGATTTCAAAGTCAAACGTTCCCTAAGCTGCCTGTCGTCTCCAATAATCACATTCATCTGAAGATGTGTGTGCACAGTGGGGAGGTGAATGGGGGAGGGGGGGCTGACACCCACTCATTACCAGTATGACTAATAAGAGTTCATACCTGTCTGTCTCCGGAGAACGCCCTCACTTGTACTGTAATGTCGACTTAATGGGGAGAGGGGCCCAGTGTGTGGGAGGCATGTCTGAGATATGATGCTTTCATTTTCTAATGAGCCTTACACAAGTGACTCACACACTTCAATGAAACATACATGTGTGTGTCTAATAATGCTGTCAGAAACTTCTTCCATCAATGGATGTCAGTCAGTAAGTGCTTAATCAGTATGTGCTAGTCATATGAGCTACACAGGGTGTTATATATGCATTAAGGTGCAAGAGTAGAGTGTGTTGATACACTTGTTTGCTTGTCAGAACATGTGTGTGTTAAAAAGAGTAGCCATGGAACTACTGTATATGAATATTTTATGTCAATATTATCATGCAAGTAACTATTTTATCCAAATAATCATCAAAAATATGGTTTACTTTTTTAAATGTAACTAAAATATGCAAGAAACAATTCTCCGTGGGTTCCCGGATGTATAATCTGAGTATCTTTGAAACTGAATTTGGCCTTTGAGATTACACTTCTTGACTTTATTCAGGAATGAAGCTGTTGGCACATGCAATTAGGGCAACAAGCAGGCTAAGTTAGGAAGTATCTTTCACAAAAAGAAAGACGTGAAACTAACACATTTCAAATATCTGTAATTTTGCCAACATCTTATAAGACAGAATTTTGTGATACCAGAAATAAAAGATTTAAAAAAGGACATAACAATAGTGAGTGAGCGATATATGGATTAAGGGATTGATGGGTGGAGGCGTGAAGGGATGTGGGTGAGGATGAAGAGATGAGAGGAGTGAGGGACGTAGTGATGAAGGGGTTAATGGGTGGAGGCGTGAAGAGATGTGCGCGAGGATGAAGAGATGAGGGAATGTAGGGATGAGGGGTGTTGGGTATGAAGGGATGTTGGAGAGGATGAAGGGGTGAGGGTAGGCACATTCAAATAAACCAGACACCGGGGTTGTGTTTTTTCTATTGCTGGTTTTTATCCAACTCTGAGTACAAAACTTTACCAAATTGGATATACAGTATAATAAACAGAGACAAATGGCAAATCCTTCTTTTGAGACACTTGAATCACATTTCTCCTTGATGAATGACTTAACTGATTGTGATTAACAAAGATTCCCTCCAGAGATGTATTGTAAGTGTTTTAAGATATTTTTAGTTAATAATAGCTTGTGCCTCATATGATATTTCCAAAGCAAAGGGTTAGGATTAAAGAAACTATTTAATAAAAAGTTCTTCATACCTAATTACAGGCCCATCTCAAAGCTCCCATTCGTGTCAAAAGTTTTAGAAAAAGTCCTTGCTAACCAACTCAATACATTTCTGAATAACAATAACATCCTTGACAAATTCCAATCAGGTTTCAGAAAACATCACTCCACAGAATCAGCTCTCCTCAGGGTCTCCAATGACATCATGATGGCATCTGATGCAGGTGATTGCGTAGTTCTGGTGTTGTTGGACCTGAGTGCAGCTTTTGACACAGTGGACCACGCCATCATGCTAGATAGACTCAGGGAGTGGGTAGGCATCTCAGGGTCTGCCCTCCAGTGGTTTGCCTCGTACCTCAGTGGGAGAAGTTTCTCCTTGGCCCGTTCTCATCATACAGCACTTCCCTATCCTGCAGCCTGCCCCAGGGTTCTGTTTTAGCCCCCCTTCTTTTTGCCCTTTACATGCTCCCATTAGGCCCCTTAATTAGCCAATTCAAGGGTATCTCGTATCACTGTTACGCAGATGATATCCAGATATATTTATCCTTCAAACCCGTCAAAACTGAGAATTTAAACACCCTGATTACATGTCTGTCTGCCATTGAGGAGTGGATGTCAAGCAACTTCCTACAGCTCAATGCATCAAAAACGGAAGTCTTGAGCTTAGCGGCTAATAACATCGCCTCTAAGGTAGCAAGCCACCTGGGTTCATTTAGTGGTAACGTTAGGGCAAACATAAAAAACCTTGGTGTAACCTTCGATCAGGCTATGCTACTAGACAAACACATCAAACTCCTGACCCGTACCAGTTTCTTCCACCTCAGGAACATTGCCAAGCTCAGGGGCTTTCTATCCAATGCAGAACTGGAGATGGCTATCCATGCCTTTATTTCATCCCGGCTTGATTATTGTAATGCTCTGTTCTCCTGCCTCAACAAAACATCAATAAACCGGCTACAACAGGTCCAAAATGCTGCAGCCAGATTAGTCACTCGGTCCAAAAAAACATGCCACATCACTCCGATCCTTTCTGCCCTGCACTGGCTCCCTGTCCATCTCAGAACCCAATTTGAGGTATTGGTTTACACATATAGAGCTGTCCATGGCCAAGCCCCCCACCTACATTAACAACCTTATCCACCCTCGCAGCACAACCCGGACCCTGAGGTCCTCTGAGCAAGGCCTCTTAAGCGTGCCGCGAACCAGGTTAAAAACTAAGGGGGACCGTGCCTTTGAGGCGGTGGCCCCAAGGCTTTGGAATGAACTCCCCCAGAAACTGAGAGCCTCTGTCTCAGTGGAGATTTTTAAGGGGCAGCTAAAGACTCACCTTTTCCGACGGCGTCGGAGGAGGTGAGTTTGTAGCTGTTTTTCATTGGTGTTTTATCCTATCTTTTACTTGCTGTGTTTTATGCCTTGTATTATACATTTTATAGTTGCATTTTGTATTGTGTACTGTATGTAAAGCACTTTGTACATTCGTGTTGAGAAGGGTGCTATATAAATAAAGTTTTACTTACTTACTTACAAATGTTCTTTGAGGTATTTATAAAAATAACAGCTACTCTTTCATTTAAAAATTCAGAATCTATCAATTCAAATTTTGCTCATTAAAAAGGTAAAACAATGCACTAAAAAGTCCCTTTGTGTCTGGAGGCTTCAAATTGCCAACTCACATTGAATATTGGATTGTGATTATTCAGATTCAAGGTGATTTCAGAAAAAGAAATTACCCAACATCTAAGGGCATTAACAAAAGGCAAAAACACTTTGAGTGTTGAGAAGACTTGAAAGGTCCCCTATTGTACTCTTTAAAAATATATATATTATAGGTCTCAGATATATACAAAACATGTCTCTAAAGTGTTTTGCTCTAAATACCAAACAGATCATAAATTGTAGCATGCCATAAACCCCTCTGTTTCAGCCCTGTTTCAGAAGTGCTGATTCTGTGTCCGTAGCTTTAAATGCAAACGAGCTCCTGCTGGCCACGCCCCTCTGAGAGATGATTGGTTTAAAAAAACAGAATGTTGCTCTAGGAAGGGATTCAGGTGATAAGGTGGCGGGTGTTAGCTTGGTTGGTGATTGGCTAATGGTTGCACAACCCAAAAAAACCTTGTGACATTACAACGTGCCTAAAATCTGATCAGCTCATTTTTCAGACAGGTTTTTATATAAATGGATCAGGACAAAAAGAGAGGGAATCTTTTTTCCTGCAACTTTCTGAATCACTTTACACAGAGGGGCCACTTTTTATGTATAAAAGACATGAAAAAGTGGATATTGCATAATAGGTGACCTTTAAAACTCAATAGTTGATAAACTTAAGATTTTTTCATCACCAAATGTTGCCTTTCTATTGAATTGATAGTCAGTCATAGTGTCTTATAGACATCGCACAATACTGCACAATACTGCACAATACTGCGACTTCATTTGCCTAATCCTCCCCCAGGGACTTATTCCAGTGTGAACGCGATCTGCTCTTTAGTTCATCAGAACTAAAGAGTTCTGATGAACTAAGTACTGGGAACTAAAAGTACTACGGCAAAGTACTCGGTGTGAAAGCGCCTATTATTTCAGAGAATAGAGCAAATCTGCAGAAAGAAATAACAGTGATTTGGCAACATTTCCATTTGTATTCAGAAGACCATGTACTAAAGCTATGATTTGGGGGTCTTTTTACTGGTGAGCGTCTGTGTGAAAAAATATTTGTGTGAGTCGGGTAGCTCTGCATATAGAGAGAGTGTTTGAATTCATCACGGTGTCAGTTCTCAGCCTTGGGTTTGTAGGATTCGTTAAAAACAATCTGCACCTGGAGGTGGTGTGTAAAGCAGAAATCCCAATCCTTTGAAGAGAAGAAGCAGAGAAGGCAGGGAGAGGACTGGATATGGTGAGAGATGCAAGGAGAAAGAAATAGAAGGAAAGGGACCCAGGAAAG